GAAGAAGAAGAAGAAGAAGAAGAAGAAGAAGAAGAAGAAGAAGAAGAAGAAGAAGAAGAAGAAGAAGAAGGAAAGTAATTCGCACCAATAAAAACTGGTGGGTAAAAAACCGTCTCGACTGTTTTTTAGGCAGTGACGGAGAAAGTAAAAGGAGAAAAGAAAAAGAAAAAGGAAGCGGATGCCACTGTGGGCCAATGCCTGGGGTTGAGCAAAAGCGGTGAAGGCTAAAAAGCTCTTCAGAGCGGGAGCAGGCCTGTGCTCAGCGTAGTGCAATATGGACGAGACTGTTGTAGTGAAGTTGTGGACGAGACTGTTGTAGTGAATTTGTGTTGAGAAGAAGAAGAAGAAGGAAAGTAATTCGCACCAATAAAAACTGGTGGGTAAAAAACCGTCTCGACTGTTTTTTAGGCAGTGACGGAGAAAGTAAAAGGAGAAAAGAAAAAGAAAAAAGGAAGCGGATGCCACTGTGGGCCAATGCCTGGGGTTGAGCAAAAGCGGTGAAGGCTAAAAAGCTCTTCAGAGCGGGAGCAGACCAGTGCTCAGCGTAGTGCAATATGGACGAGACTGTTGTAGTGAAGTTGTGGACGAGACTGTTGTAGTGAATTTGTGTTGTGGCGTCGTGCAGCTTAACATCAGCTTGGTGCAGCGAAAGCATACAGCGAATGGCAGCGCGCAGTGTTGTGGCTTTGTGCAATAGTAGCTCTAAGCGGCGAAAGCATCTTCTGATAGACTCGCTCCAGCGCGCCGCAGCACAAGCAAGTAGACTAGAAAAACGAAAAAAAAAAAAAAAAAAACGAACGAAAGCTCGACTTGGTTGGCGAACACCCACCCCCGGCCCTTTAGAAGCCGGTGTGGCGAGTTAAAACCAAGATTTGAAGGGTACCCAACTATCCTCGCTGGGTGGCTGTCCGCCAACCAAGTGCCAACAAACTGCCTCTCGGGGACTTTTAAAACAGTGGCCAGTCGCGCCAAGCCTTCTCACGTCGCCTCAGCCAGATAACGTAGCTGGAATTTAGTGCCGCGTTTCTGCAGTTCCTTCTTAATTGGCGCTGTTTTTCCTTACAACCGGCCAATGCCCGCGCCAAACCGTCCAGGCTGCTGGAAATGGCTCCTCTAGCTCCCACCTCCGCTGTGAGGGCCTCGACTTCCCAGCCATTCTTCATACACTCCTGTTTGAGGTGGCGATACCGTGACAGCTTCTTCTCCCTCGACTGGATGATGCGGTCTTCGCTACACACCGTGAGTTCCAGCCAAAGAACCCTTCTCAATTTCTTCGAGAAGAGAACTATGTCTGGACGACACGTGGTAGGTGCAATAAAATGTGGGAATACTAGTTTCTCGTCCAGATCTGAAAGAAGCTGCCAATCATGTGATCCTGACAAAAAACCATCGCTCAGACCTTTCCGCTGAGGTAACTCGCCATGGGGGATGTTTTGACCCGGTTTACAGAAGGTAATGTATGTACCATTAGTGGGAGTTTGCTCGGTATTTGACGACTTTTGCTTTGCTGATACTACTTCTGTCATGAATTTACTGATCTGTTTCAGGACGTTGTCATGGCGCCACGTGTACCTTCCTTGATGGAGTGAGGAAGGGCAGGCGGTGAGAATGTGCCTCAGTGTTGATGTCCGCTGACAAAGAGGGCAATTCTGGTCCACAACAGAGTTGCCCCATCGTCTCAGATTGTCAGGCGAAGGCAGAGTATTAAGTATCGCGTTCATTTGGAACGATATCGTCCTTCCATAGCCCTCGTATAAGAGTTTCCGCCATGTCATGTCCTCGAACATTGTGTCTGCCCATTTGGTCCAGGCCCCTTGCATTTGTAGGCCCTTTAGGTGCCGGAGCTGCTCCTGGCAGTCGCCTTCTCTGATTGTATTGAGGATTTGTTTCCTTGGTTTTACCACGCGTGATTTTGGTGTCACGAAGCCCAGTCCGGC